TTTTTTGCAGAGGAGAAGATCGAAATGACAGTCCCCGTGACCCAGCACCTGAAGACCCCGACGGCCTACGCCGAAAGCTCGGACATGTGCTTCTACATTCCCCAGGTATCGCGAGGCATCGCGAGGTATCGCGAGGCATCGCGAGGCATCGCGAAATTTGACTCTCATTGTTTATGTTTTGTCATCAACCAGATGCCGAAGTTCAACTTGAGAGAGGAAGAATGCCGAATATATTTTAAACATATAATAATATATTTTAAACACATAATAATATATTTTAAACATGTAATAATCGTAACTAAATCATTACTACTACATTCGCGACTTCAACAGCTGTTTGCTTCAATTGCAGAAATTTCAGGAGAATCCGCCTGAGCCGGCCGAGAAGGAAGTCTACATCGAGGAACGGAAGACGGAGCAGTTCCTGGTCAAGTGAGTCCGCGAAATTATCATGCATGTCAAATTCCAAGTGTCGGTGGCGCCGCGAACGCCGTCCCGCGGCGGATGCAAATTGTCGAATTTCGCCACTTGCCTATGACGTCACCAGATGTCGACAATTTGTCGAGGGGAAGAGCATGGAATTCGATTTGTTTGAAATCGTGAGCGCTTTCCAAGATTATTGTTTTTCGTGGCTAGACTCGAGGCCGTGGGGTGCGACATTAATTAGTAATTAAGGATAAATTCGAATAATTCGTAATTAAGTATAAATTGTGCAATTGTAGCATTTTTTTGACATTTAGAAAATAAAAAATGAATTTCTGGCTGGTGCGTTGAGACTCGGGCGTTTTTTCGGGACTCTGGAAATCAAATATATATATATATATATATTTTTTTTTTTTTGCAGCCGCTTCAGCGGATTCGCATCGCGGCGGGACTACGAGAAAGTCGCGGCGAAACTCCTGGAGGCGGCGACGCGGGACGCCGTGAAGGGCGTGGACAACAGCACGCACTGGATCGCCGGGTACCAGTCGCCGTGGAAACTTTTCAGCAGGAGGAACGAGGTCTGGTTTCGCGTCGAGGGTTGAGGAGTCGCCGCAATTTATTTTTTTTTATTCTTCTGCGAGAATGGGTGGAAGTCGGAATAAAAAAAAGGTGGAATTCTTACTGAGATGCGTCTTCATTTTTTCCAGCTTTTTTTTTCTCACTTTTGATTTCTGGAGATTCAGTCGCTGAAGTTGAACGAATGAGAATCATGCCAAGGACTCCTTTGAGGCAATAAAAAAAAATTATTTCACCACTGTGCATCACGTTCTCCTCGAGAAGCTCAAGGCCATCCAACGTTTTCATCCTCCAAGGCATCGCATTAAATACGTTGCAAAAAAAAAAAAAATGGGATGGGGCCATCATGGCCCCCGACAATCCACTTTTCCCTCTGGTGAATTCTATGTCGGGCTTCCTCCCATGCAAAGTTATGCTAGTCCAGTCCTGTATCGTATATGGGATGGTATTTGTACCTTGGGTTCATGGTGCGGGTTATTTAAATAGCACGTGGCTGGGGATAATATTGTCAAAACTGGAAAACGTTAAATAACTGCCTTTGAATCTGACGGATGGCGAAGATTTCCTCACGGCTTATCGAATTGCAGTCGAGCACGCCATGCCATCAGGCAATCACGAGACGCAAAGGAGAAAAGGGGCATGCGGAATTTTCGCAGAAGTCAAGGTCGACGTGTTGACCGACACATCAAGGTCGGGAAGCTCCTGGAATGCCGAACTTTCTGTCTTCCGTATATGCCGATTTTACACTTGTCCGCGAATGCCGATTGAGCCTTGTCCGCGAATGCCGACTGGGACGATGAGAAATATCTCTCCACTTTGGATGATTCCGGGAATGCCGAAGTCGAAATTCGGCATTAAGGGACAGGTCGGCGGAAAAGGACGCCCCTTTGGGGCATTATCCTTGAATGCCGACACAAAAAATGCTTTTTCGTTACAATCTCCACCCCCCTCATCTAACACTTCCGGCAAGTTTTCTTCGGCGAGCGTATAAAATGGAACGGTCTTGGATAAACGACGAACATGGCTGAGGAGGCTTCTTGTAGACTGGAACGGGGTCCTCGAGGAGGTGAAAACCTCATCGTTAACCAGCACGTATTTCGGTCTGAGAAGAAGGAGAGACGGAAGCGCTATTGGAAATGCAAGGAAGGTAAGTCCAATGATCCACAT